ACACCACAGTGCAGAGGAATAGGGTCTGGCTCATACACATGGGTCTTTGGGACCCAGCTGCTTTCTTTCCATTCGATCAAAGGGTGGGAGAGACGACCTGCCCACAAAGGGTTAAGTCAGTGCAGACACCCGATCGGCCATCGCCAATGTCGCCCTGGCCCATTTGGCCCCAGAGGTTATCAATACACCGTGTCAGCGTGATCAGCCGGCTGGTCGAAGGCGCAGTGAATCCACAGCCTGGCCCTGCTCAGCCGCCATGTCCCTCCCAACAGCGAGCGTGAGACAGGAGCCCACGGCAGGTGGACCTTGTCCACCCTTGGCTTTGTCATATGGCTCCCCAGCCAGGACAGGCCCAGACGGCACAGTGGGAAAAGCCCCGGCTGTTGTCAGAGGCTTGTCTTCACTAGAGCACGGATACCACGGGTGTGTCCGCGTGGGCATGCGACGGCCGGGATAGTCGCAGCAAATGCCCCACGGAGACAAGGCACCAGACACGCAGCGGGAGGGGTGGTCTGTCTGCAGGATCCACCCCTGCCTAGGGATGTTTGCCCCAGTGTAAATACATCTCTGTGGGACAGTGGGTCCTGCCACAGGCTGGCTGGCCCTTTAAGGGGAGATGATTCAGCCCCACCTGTAGCAGATACTTCCCTTGCCTGGGCAGGTAGAGAAAATAGGCCATGTGACTCAATCAGGCCTCTGGGATAAATAAGAGAGAGAGGGCAGGGCTGGGTCCTGAGAGAAGCTTGCTGAAAAGGGGAAGGCTCCTGTAGGATTGTCTATGTCCCACATAGGCCCTGAGAGCAGGAGTCTGTTGAAGTGGGCTGGGAGGTTTGTAAACACACCCTGCAAGAGTAGGACAGCAGCAGATTGGGTTTGCCTGTTGACCTCTCTGAGCCAAAGAGAAGGTGGCCCTGGAGCAAGGCAAGACTCCAGGCAGACCAGAGGACAGACTGACCCACAGGTAAGAGGGATTGGGTAGACAAGCTGTTATTTTGAGTTCCCTTTTGGATGTGGTTACTCTAGAAGGTGTGGCCTTCTAGTTCAGGACTCTGGTGGGGGGCCAAGCTGCAAGTCTCGGTAGCTGAGGAAGGGTGGTGGAGAAAAGACAGGGCTGGAGAGGAAGGCTGGGCTGGTGGTTAGGGCATTAGTCTAGGCTGCCCAAGACCTGGGTTCAAATCCCTGTTCTGCCAGAGACTCCCTGGGTGGATCCCTTGGCTTTAGCAAGGGAGGAGGTGAGACTGGATGATTAAAAATAGTCCTGACTGGTTTTCAATCTATGAAGCAGGCTGAGATGTGGAAATGGAGACCGGGCTTCTATAGAGTCTCCCTTGGCCACAAAGGGATTCCCTGGAGCTAGCAGCCCTCTCGCAGATACAGATGTTTGTGCTGATGTAAACTACTGGGGTGAGCTTAAATGGTCAGATGGATCTGTGACGGCTGCCCAATGAATTCAGGGAAGTTCTATGGCCTGTGTGATGCAGAGACCAGACTGCAGGCTCACAGTGGTCCCTTTTGGCTCTGTAACCTCTGAACTTCCACGAGTTGTGTTTTGGGGGGTTTCTTAAAGCCCCCAAGTCCTGAGTCATGTTGTTTACATGAGACTCTCAGCCATCACGTCTTTTCTTTACAAAATAAGATTCTAGCCCCCTGCCCCTCCCCAGCTATGGAGAAAAGCTTGAAAAATGAGACTCCAAAAGCTTCCAACGCCCGGCTGTGAAAAAATCTGACCTTGCTCATCACTTAAAATCTCACGACTTTAAGCTGATCTTGTGCTTTCTGAAGGGCTGACTCCTGACTTGTTTTGAACGCTTCGGGGGGGTGATGCCGGGTGTCTGCAGCAGAGACTTGCATGCAAGTCACAAGCCCGCTGCTACTTTATCTAGGTGGGAGAGAAAGACAGAGGGAAGGGGCAGGAGAGAGGATGTCGGTGCTCCAGCCCTCTCCGTTTGGCAGCTCAGAGGGGTACCGGGGAGGGGGTTGTGTGTACATGCACTCGATGCCCATCTGACTGTTTCACTGCTGGGCTTGGAGGCTGCATCAGGAAATCGAGGGGGAACAGAAACCAGCCTGCAGTGTGGGAGAAATGGTGACTGAGCTGTGGGGAGGGTGTGTGTGTGTGTGTGTGTGTGTGTGTCTCTCTCTCTCTCTCTTTCACATGAAATGGATGCAGAGGAAGAGACTGATCTGGTCACACAGGACATGTGCATTCCAAGACCGGCTCCTGTACTCGTGCCATGGGAGGGGAGCCCTGTGCTCGCAGGGTCGGGGGAATGACTGGGGAGGTGGCAGGTGGCACTGGGCAATGTGCAGCCTGCCCTAGAGGAAGGGGGGCCCATGTTACCACAGGGGAAAGTGCTCTGGCAAATCAAGGTTGTTTCTGGGCTTTCTAAAAATGCAATTCTCTCCCCCACCCCTCCCCTGGGGGGGGGGGATATGCTTCTGTAGTGCTAACCACTAGACACACTTCCTTCCCAGAGACGGGTATAGAACCCAGGAGGCCTGACCCTGCCTCTAACCACTAGGCCTCACTCTCTGTAGTCTCTCCAGACCCCGTTCCATGGCAGGTGTAAAACAGCTGCCAGGCCCTTCTGGAGCCCTGGGTTTAAAATGACCGGCATCTGCATCCAGTCCCTGATGGCCAAGCTAAACCAAGGGCTGCCACTGGATAGCTTCATTGGATGAGCCTGGCTGGTGGCCAGGCCAGGCTGTGAGACTTGCTGGGTGGGGGGGGTTGACTGCCTTCTGCTGCAGAGACCGACCGACAGACAGAGCTGTGTGATTAGCTTTATCTGTGGGGAGAGCCCAGGGATCCGAGGTTATCTCCGCGCTACCAACCGCCCCACTCCCTCCGTGTCACCAGGGACTCTGCCAGGTCTTTAAAAAGGACGGGGAGACCTGGCAAGTGCTTCTAGGGATGGGAACACTCCGTTAACCCTTGCTGTGCCGTGCTGCCCTCCCACACCCAGCCGGGATCATCCCTTCAAAGCCTTGAGCCAGCAAAGCCCTTAAGCACCTGCCTATATCCCATTGACTAAGGCCCTTGTTCAGCACCTCACTAGCAAGAGGCACATGGGCTCCTCCTGTGGTGCCTAGAAACTAGGTTTGAATTTGGGAGGCGGGGGGTGAAGAACCCTCTGCCCACCGTTGCGCTCTCTGCAATGTGTTCTCAGCACCCTGTCGAGCGCCAAGGGGCTTTGGAGCGTTGATCTCTACCTAGGGGACTACTGGCTGCTCTGAAAGCAGAGCACCGCCCAAATTCTAATGCGCCGATCCTCCCGACGTCCCCATGACGTAGGGAGAGCAGCACTGCTGTCCCCGTGTTCTGGATGGGGAAACTGAGGCACAAAGATTAAGACGTGCACAAGGTGTTGCAGGAAGAATCAGTAGCAGAACACACCCCCCCCCAAGTGTCTCCCCAAAAAACCCCATAAAGAGACGCACCCATTTGATTTCTCTTTGGCGAATGGCAGCCACTAGCCCTCTGCCTGGCCCACCCTTGCTCCCACCGGGCAAACCTCCCTGGGAGTCAAGTGGCACCGTAATCAGGCCCATCACACACGATGTGCTGTGCCCACTCTGAGCAGCAAGGGGCAGAAGCTTCTAAGTTGCTGTTATAGTCACCTTATTCTTTGTATATCGTTCACTGGCCCTGACTGAGATCAGCGCTCCAGCGTGCTAGGTGCAGTACGTACACACGGTGCAAGACCCTGCTCTGAAGAGTTTCCAAAGAGACCTGGAGAAGGAGTATTAAGAGCAGGGACAGTCTTTTTTTTTTTGTTCCATTTGTACAGTGCCTAGCGCAATGGGGCCTGATCCAGGACTGGGGCTCCTCGGGGCTAGAATACTTCAGAACTGTCTCTTTCACAGATGGGGAAGGGGCTGTCCCAGGGAGCTTGGCATGGAACCCAGGCCCTGTGGGTGCCAGGGTAGTGCTGAACGGCAGTTCCTTTTCTCTTGGTCTGAAAAGCTTTGGTGACGTAATCAAAGCTTGGGAACTGGAGCCTGCGTCCTATCCATCCTGTGAGTGAGGAACCCTTGGGCGTAATCCACGCGTTCTCTGCGGTGCGGAGGGTGAAGGAAACGGAGGGTGAGCGAGTGGAGGCCATTTCCGGCGGCTGCAGCTTCATCTCCAGCTCAGCCGTCCCGGTGTTGGGGTGAGCTTAAATGATCAGATCCTGCTCTCCATGCCACACATACCCCCAGGGCGCTCTGGTTCGTGTTGTCTGACTTAAATTGTGCCCGGAATCCTCCTTCAGCCACGTGCGCATCAAAAAACGGGATTTTCCTCCTGCAGAATTTGGATTTCTTAGTCATTCCCTCCACGGTCAAAAGCTCCAGAATCTCGACCCCTTATTCAAACCCCCCTGGAGTCGAGACCTGAGCCTGCTGGCTCCTGAATGAAGCGCTCAGGCCTTTGGCCTGGCCCTGAGCCGGGAGAACAGACAGAGGGGCTCCATTTACCTACCTCCCACTCCCCCCATGCATGAATTAAAAACTCTACTTGGGCAACAAGAGACACATTCTCCTTCCTTTAAAAAGCAACAGAGGGTCCTGTGGCACCTTTGAGACTAACAGAAGTACTGGGAGCATAAGCTTTCGTGGGTAAGAACCTCACTTCTTCAGATGCAAGACTTTTTACAGATTCAGACTAACATGGCTACCCCTCTGATACTCTCCTTCCTTTGACACACACCCACCAGCGAGTGGCTCCTGTTCCCCTGAAAGTCAGGGCTGGGGGGGGCTGATGGACCCTGGAGACTGCCCCCGCCTCTCCCCAGCACTGCCTGGGGGCTGGCCCTTCCTACAAGCGCGTCATGGGAAGGGGGCTGGCCTCCCTACAGGGGGAGGGCTGCTTTGAGCATCAGCACCAGGGAGAGCTCCCTTTCCTTGGGTTTTCTGCTTCACGCCATCAGCTGGGGGTGGAGCGGATTGTCGGGAGGAGGTGGGGGAAGAGGGGGAAATATTCCCCAGCCATCAGGGGTGGGTGCAGGGGGGGGCATCGCGCTGGTGATCTGGGGGCAGAGGAGGGGGGTCGGCTGGAGGATTGGATGGAAGCGAGCTGTATCCAGTCTGCCATGGCTCTCGGGCTCTCCTCCAAGAAAGCCTCTTCCAGGAACATCGCCGTGGAGAGGAAGAATCTCATCACGGTCTGCAGGTGGGGGGGCTGCTGGAGGGGAGGGACATGGGGACCCCCCTGGGCAGCTTCAGGTGGGGGGGGGGAAGGGGAGAGGGAATGATGGGGGATGAGAGGGGGCTTGGGGTGGGGGTGGGATCATCCCAGGTGCAGCTTGGAAGCAGAAATATGCTCCCTGGGTGACTGATTTTTTGGGGGGGGGGGTAAAAAAAAAGTAGCGAGAAGGGAGGGGCCAAGGAGGATGCAGACGACTTGGGGGGGGGGCGATGAGGCTGGCTGGGGACTGTCCCTGTGGGACCAGCGCTGGGCCATCACATTAAGCATCAGCGTGTTACTGAGCAGTATTCCGGGGGGGGTGTTGCAATGGGGGGGGCTGCAGCTGGGGGGAGGGAGGTGAGGGGGTGCTACCAGGCTGTGCAGTGCTGTGTATTAAGCGATTAACTCCTAGGCACTGGGGGGTGGGGCTGATGATTGATGATTTACTAATTATGGGGGGAGGGGATGAACAAGGGAGACAACACCATGGAGGTTGGGGGAGGGTGGGGGGCACTTGCTGTTCTGTACCCCCATCCCAATGGCTGGGTTGGGTGAAGCCGGGACCCAGGCTGGCCAGGTGTGGGCTCCAGGAAGTGACGTCATGGCAGGCCTGGATCAGGCATGTGGGGGAGGGGAGGGGGTTGTCATAGCAACACCCTTTCTGGAGCAAGGACTCTGGGCTGAGGGGGCAGTGCCACCCCCCAACCCAGCGGGCAGTTTGGGGGGTGGCAGGTGTCCCTGCCCTGCAGCCCTTGCTCTGCCCGCTATTCCCTGGGCATGAAAGAAATATCTGCGTGGGAAAGAGGGAGGGATGTGGCCTGCTAATGGGCCGCACCCTGGGCTCTGCCTCTGCCCCCCCCCCCCGCCCCTGGCCTGTGCTGGGCTATGGGCTATGGGCTGGCCTCTGTCCCCCCCCAAGCTGGGCCCTGGGCTATGATCTGGTCTGTAATGGGTCCCAATTTGGCTTCAAGGTGAAGTGACCCACCTCGAGGGGGGGGACAATTTTCTCCACTCAGAGCCCCCTGAAAGCGCCTCCTGCCCAATGCATGGTGCCGGGTGACCCTGAAGACCTTCATTCACATCCATCACCATCCCCGACACCACACACACACTCTCTCTCTCTCTCTCATCCTGCTGCCGGAGCTCACAGCTGGCGCTCCGGGTCAGCAGCCGGTCAGGCCTGGAGAGCAGGATGGTCCCTGCTGGCCTTACCACGGGCCCTGCACTGGAAACGGCGATCCCCTCCGAGGCCGTTCCCGAGGCCAGGCTCCCCTTGTCTCCCGCAGGAGCGCTGGGCCTGCAGTTATTCCTCCAGCATCGTGGGGGCTGGTCCCTGGGGGAGAGATGGGGCCCAAAAGACAATGTGGGGCCCAACCGCATGGTTTGACATGGGGCCCCTGAACCTGGTAAAGGGGACAGGAAAAGCTTTGAAGCAGTCAGGGTCCCACTGATTCAAGCACTTATTTTGTGTGTGCCTTCCCTGAAGAAGGGATGGCTTTGTGAGCAGCAAGGGGGGGGGATTTTTCTCCCCCCGGCCCCAGCAGTGCGGCTGGTATCTGGTCTTGTCGGCTTTTTCTAGGAGCAGAACCACCCAGCCCTTCTCTGGGAGTCTGCGGGTTGAGAAAGGAACCCAGCTCTCCCAAGTTAGTCCCCTCCCAACGGGACCATCTTTCTTGCTCCCTCCCTGCCAACCCCACCGCCTTTTCAAGCTGGGCCTCACACTTGACTGGCAGCTGCTTTTGACAGGGGCAGTTGCTGGTTGTTAATAACGGGAACGGCACAACTGCTGGACTGAGAAACGTCTTGCCTGGGGAACGCTGCGATCACTAACGAATAGAGTACCAGGATGGATGAGCCTGAATTCCAATCCAGGCTCTGGCCCTGCTGGGGGACCTTGACCTTGGCCTTGCCTCTGTTTACTCATCTGTAAAATGGGAATAATAAAATCTCTGTCTCCCAGGGCTACAAAACTCAGCACGTGGGTCCAGGTGCAATAGGAGGCATGAGGGTTAAAGTCCAGCAGGGTTGATCCTTGCGGTTTGATGGATTTCCCAGGTAGTTGCCTCTTTGCAAAACGTGTATGTCTGGTGGTAGAATTCGTCTGAAGTTATCTGATGGCTGCCGAAGAGGAGAGGGGAGTGTCAGCCTAGTTCCTCTTGAGCAGGGGACCATGGCCAAGACACAGCCACTGCATTGGCTTTTAATGGATTCTCATGTGGGCCATGGGTTGGATGGGTCACCAGGCTGAGCCATGCCTTCTTACTGGGGTTCCTTTGCGGTCACGGGGTGGCCTATGCTGTACCCGACCCGGGATCAATAGAGGAGGGCACTCCCCAGAGCGATCAGTCTGGCATTGAATTAACTGACAGCAGAAAGGAGAGAGAGACGCCATCTGGCTCCCGCAAGGCTCAGGAATAGGCTCTTGCTCTGGGATGCTAAAGAGGTTATGTTTGAGATCTGCTTGGATTGGTCCTGAGTGCACAGAGAGGCTACTAAGCAAACATCGATAGGATCTGTAAGAAATAGTGTTGCTCGTTGAAGAGACCAGGAGCCCTTACAATGGATGTGATAGTAATATCACTGTGGTCCAGTGAATGGGATACTGGCCTGCTAGGAGCCAGGACTGGTGTCTCTTCCCAGCTCTGCTACTGTCTGTTATGTGACCTTGGGCAAGTCACTCCCACCTTGTGCCTGTAAAATCCCACCCTGGGGCCAGGAAATGGACTGTCTCTTACCAACCCCATGCACTGGGATTCTGATGAGGGTCTCCCGTGTGCGTGTGTGTATACATGCTACCGTTGAATGTTTGAGTTCAATAGCACAGGACCAGGCCAGGGCCTCCAGGCTGCCACTCTTAACCTTTGCCCAGGGTGAAAATTGGCCCCTTATTCTGGTTCCGCTTTCTGCCTCGGCGAGCAATGATAATACCTTGCCTCTCAGTCCATGACACCCCGTTGAGAGGGGCCTTGTCCAAGACCTTTTGAAAGCCTACATCAATTAGGGGCAACCAGTTCTCCTCTCTCCACTGCTTTATCAACACAGTCAAAGGATTCTAAGATGACTCAGACCCACTTTGCTTTTGCACAAACGGTGGTGGTGAGATCCTGCCAAGCACTGCCCTCGACTCGTGCAGACTGTCCCATTGACATCAAGGGGGCTACTCGCATGCTAGAAATTAAGTGCTTTCTTAAGTACTTTGCTGGGTCAGGGCCTAAATCACTCATCCTGCAACTAGATCCATGGAGCTGCCTCTGGGGCACCCCACTGACACCAACAGGGCCCATGTGGGCGCAGGTGTCTAAATTACTCCATTCCCTGGGAGGAAATAGCAGGATGTTCTCTGCAGGGCTGTGCGCTCCCGCAGCTCTGATGTGTAATTACAGGCTACCGCTACCAGTCACTTAATGTTGCATCCAGCTCCTTGGAGAAGTGGCACTAATGTCAGTTTCTCTCTCTAACTGTGAGCACCATTTTCCCCCTTTCCTTCCCCCCACCATGAGCGCTAGAGAAATGGGTTTGATCAGTTCAGGCAAGGGCTCCTTGCGGGGCTGGTGTCACAAAGGATGCCCTGATTCAGCAACGCAAGCGGCTGCCTCCAGCAGCGTGGCCAAGCAGACCGAGATGAAAAGCTCCATTGTCCAATCCTGTTAGTGTCTTTATTCCCCCCTGATGTATTCTAGCTCCGGTGAAAGGCGGCCTGATGTCCTCAGGCTGGAGTGGGGGCGGGAGAGACAGGAGGGGGATCTTGTGGGGTGGGAAAGCCCAGCCCCCATGTGAGATCAGGATGACGCTAAGCAGCACCTTGAGGAAAAGCACAAGGCCGTGAGATGGGTTGAGTGGACTGGGCTAAGGAGAGCTGGGTTCAGGTCCCAACTCTGCCACAGACTTCCTGGGTGACCTTGGGGGAGTCGCTCCATCTCTCGGTGCCTCGGTTTCTCCATCTGTAAAATGGGGATTAAAAATACTCCCCTCTTCTGCCTTCTGTCGGGCTAGTTAGTCTGTGAGCTCATTAGGGCAGGGCCTGTCTCTCAGTTTAGGTCTATACAGCACCTAGCACAACATGGCCCTGATCTCCCCTGGAGCCTCCAGGTGCAACTATAATATAAATAATCATTTTCCATAGGAAAGTGTGTGTGTGGTCACTTATTTGAATTTTACAAACTACAGATTTCCAGTAGGTAAAATGGCCTAGTTTAACATGGTGCATGATTAGCCTTTGGAACTCACTGCTACAGGATATCATCTAGGTCAGTGACTTAGTAAGATGGGCTTTTAAATGGGTAAGAGTTGCATTGGCAGGATAGTAGCTAACATAGTAATGGCACCATGTACAGCCCTTAGACAGCACATGAGTCTAAAGCACGAAATAAGCCTCAAGCTCCTTAGCAGGTGGGTCACTTTTATCTGCAAATGGGGAAACCGAGGCACAGAGCGAGGCAGCGACTGGCCTAGGTTCATACAGGGGCAGAACAGAGACTAGAACCCAGCCCCCTAGTCTCCCCACCAAAGCATGTTTTCCCAGAGCTGGAAACAGAACCAAAATCGTTTGACTTCGAGTCTCCGGCTCCGATCATTAGACCATGCTCCCTTCCAAAGCCCTAGCTAGACCCTCGGAGTCCCAAGTTCTAGTCCCCTGCTCTATTTCCCCACCGGCCTCCCTCCCACGCTGTGTCTGTGTCCGTCTCTCCCTTGCAATATCCCTTTGATTCAGTGCCTGACACCGGTCTAGCAAAAGCCCTTTGCAGGGTTTGACATGTCAATGATGCCATCTGAAACCAGGAACAACAACTTCCTGCCCTGCTCCTCCGCGCCCCCCAGAGGACTCGGGCGGGATTCCACTCGCTCTGTGCTGAAAAACAGGGCCCTAAGCAGGCCTGAGGACAGCTGGGTGCGTAGGTGTCTGAAGAGCTGTCTGGAAACGGCAGATGCCTCAGTGCAGCGAGAAGAGGCAAACCGCGTGGTGGGGAAGGAGAGAGCGCTCCTGCTGGCAGCCCACTGGCCTCCACTTGTAAGAGTGGGCTGACAGTATGACCCGTAATAATCATAGATGTGAGTGGAAAGCAAATGTCTTGGATGCAGGACTCCTGGGTTCTAGTCTGGGCCCTGAAGGGGAGCATGACGTAGTGATGGGGAGAGGGGTGCAGCACTCCCAAGTTCCCTTCTTCACCCTCACTGACGTCCCCCGTTCCGTGCCTCAGTTTCCCTATCTGTTAAATAGGCCTCTTTAATTGGAGGCCTAATTCATTAGTGACTAAAGCACTTTGCTGAGTGAGCCGGAGCTGGAGACGGGTATGGGCTTCTCATATCTGTCCACAGGAGAGCATGCTGCCTCTGTCCACGTGCAGATGCTGTGTAACGGCTTCCCCCACCAGGGAATTGCACCACAGATCATGAAATCGTATCCTGGCCACAATGGAGACGCAAGGAGGAGGGTGCGTGGAGCTGGTGTCCCCCTGATGGAGATGGTGAATCAGCGTTCTGCAGGGCTCCGTCATGCCAGGAGCTGTACATGCACATAGTGAGAGCGAGGCCCACCCTCAAAGTGCTTTCAGGCTAGATAGGCAAGGCCAAGGGGGAAGCAATAGTAGCAACTAGTTCTTATCACATTTTTCATCAATAGAGCTCCAAGTGCTTTACAAAGGAGGTCAGTATCATTACCCCCATTTCACAGATGGGAACACTGAGGCCCAGGGAACAACTTGCCCAAGCTCACCCAACAGCCCTGGGATTGAACCCAGCCCCCATGCCCCCCAGTGGGGTGTTTTATCCACTAGGTCACGCTGCCTCACCCAACCCAAGGTCATACAACAGGCTCAGTGGCAAAACTAAGAATAGCCCCCAGCTCTCCTGAGTCCCAGGGCAGTGCTGGAGAGCTGCTTCTCCTTACTACCTTTCAGAGATTCTCCCCGAGGGCCCGCACAGGAAACTCTTGTCTGCCTCTCCTGCATACCAGTCCGTGATCTATATATAGATTTTTCTCTCCGGTAGATTTTCCGTGAAGACCCTGCTGGAGAAATACACCACGGAGCCCATTGACGATTCGTCGGAGGAGTTCATCAACTTCGCTGCCATTCTAGAACAGATCTTGAGCCACCGCTTCAAAGGTAACGGTGGGCGTGCTCGCGTGGACTGGTTGGGCTCCCCGCAGGGCGTTCGGTTGCGTGTGTGTGTCTGGGCATGCATCGTGTTTACACACTTCTGCAATGGGAGACCTGCCTGTGGACACACCTACCGTAAGCACAAGTGTGAACATGTCCGCTTCCGTGCGTGAGTGTTTGTGCACATCTGTTGCGTGCACATGTGTGCAACTGTTGGACGCATATTTGTGTGCAATTGTCTGCATCCAGGTGGGAAGATGTCTACTCCTATTGACTGTGTGTGTGTGTGCAACTGTTGTGTGCATGCATCTGCTACGGAGGATGTCTGGAGCCTCCAGCATTGGCCAATGTTTAAGGCAGGCTGGCCCCCTGGATGGCAGGGACCTCTCCTGGTCGCAGCCCAGCCGTCTCCTCTTCTCTGTCCCAGGTCCCGTCAGTTGGTTCAGCTCCGATGGGCAGCGTGGCTTCTGGGATTACATCCGCCTGGCCTGCAGCAAGGTCCCCAACAACTGCGTCAGCAGCATTGAGAACATGGAGAACATCAGCACGTCTAGGGCCAAGGTCAGGCAGGGCCCCAGGCGGCTGCTCCCCCGCTGTCTAAGCCAACAAGCTGGGCGGGTCCCGTCAGGGAAGGGGAAAGCAGCAGACACATGGGAAGGGCAGAGAGCCCATCTCAGTGGGTCTAGCAGGGTCGCTGGGCCAAAGGGCCCCTGCCACTCCTAGGCAACCTGGAAAGGGACACCAGCTAATGGGGCAACCCCTGTGCCCATCCTTCCCAGAAGGGTGTCTGCTGAATTTGAAGGGGGCGGTCACAAGACACTAGCTAGTGCCCAGAGACTACGGTGATGGGCACCCTGTGCTGGATGGATGGCTGGGTGTCAGTGGGAATGGATAGACTAGGTGGGTGGATGGATGGATGTTGACACTAGAGGCAGGTCCTCCTAACCACCCAGTGCCTGGATCTGTCGCAGGGCCGGGCCTGGATCCGCGTGGCGCTGATGGAGAAACGCATGTCGGAATACATCACCACGGCCCTGAGGGACACCAGAACCACCAGGTGAGCGGCTTCCGCACACAGCAACGTGCCGTCCTGCTGGCGGGGTGCAGACAGGCCGTTTCTTTCACAGCCGGGGCGAGACCGAGGGAGCCCAGCGTTTGCCCGTCTTGGGGCTGTGTTGGTAGGAAGAGTCTATGGGCCCCATCCACAGAAGACTGTAGCAGGATGGGTTTCCCATGGAGGCTACAAATCCCCACCATACATTGCTGCCCCTTGGTCGGAGCAGTAGGGTTGCTGTGTGGCTCACGTTTCCCAGCCCCTGGGGCAAAGGAGGACCCCATCCCTACTCCTCCTTGCCCCTCACTGGCTCGGTCCACTCGCCTCCTGAATGGGAGCGCGGGAGCCCGCGAAAATGCTCGGGTGAGATGCAGGCGCCTCGCCCTGTGCCTCAGACGCATACAGCACAGGGCTCCCCGGGGGCGCGGCGTGGTAAGAACAGCACCTTTCGCATTTACGATGGATTTCACGAGCCAGTGCAGGGGCATGGTCATGTGAGTGTGATCTCTGGGCTTCGTATCACAGCGCTTGGCTGGGTCTCCAGGGCAAGGCTGCGTGAGTGTGAATGGACGGATGCCAGGGAGACCCCATGGAGCTCGTAGCAGTGGGCAGGCATGTCTGTGTGGTAAGGCTGTGTGGGAGCATGTGTGGTGTGGCTGGCTATTCTGCAGTCCCCTCCGCAGGGATAACGGTGTCTGTCCTTCCCCGCAGAAGGTTTTACGACGACGGGGCTATCATGCTGCGAGAAGAGTCCACTGTGCTCACCGGGATGCTGATTGGCCTCAGCGCCATTGACTTCAGGTAGGAGGAGCCTGAGAACAGTTCCTCTTGAAGTGGGGGTATGATGGAGGGCTATAAAATCATGACTGGTGTGGAGACAGTGAATAGGGAAGTGTTATTGACCCCGTCACGCAACACAAGAACAAGGGGTCACCAATGAAATGAATAGGCAGCAGGTTATAAAACAAACCTAAGGAAGTACTTCTTCACACAACACACAGTCAACCTGTGGAACTCCTCGCCAGGGGATGGTGTGAAGGCCAAAAGTATAACTGGGTTCAAAAAAGAATTCGCCAGCAATAGACCTATCCTCCATGAGCTTATTAGCCAAGATGGTCAGGGGCACAATCTCATGTTCTGGGTGTCCCTTAACCTCCAACTGCCGGAAGCTGGGATTGGACAACAGGGGATGGATCACTCAATTGGCTGCTCTGTTCATTCCCTCTAAAGCATCTGGCACCAGCCACTGTCAGATGACAAGATACTGGGCTACATGGACCAAGACTCAGCGTAGCCGTTCTTACATTGAATCAAAATCTCAGAGGTATTTTTAAAGCACCCATTACAAAATACCTAGAGCAGTGCTGAATGACCACCGTAGAAAACCCAGAGGGAGACAGACCGACCAACAGGGACAATGCACATTTCTCATAGCGAGATCCAAGCACTCTGTGCTCATAACCAACCGGGGCTCCTCTGTCAGGACTAAAGAATCACACATATACACACACTTTCTATAAACACTGAACAAGGGACTTCATTAGAATTCCAAAAAACAATCAGCCCAAAACCTACATTCAAAGAACGTTATTAAGGTGGCAAAGAAGTTAGGAAATGCCAGAATTAAGATTGCCTGTTTAACCTTCGTTCACCCCTTTGTGTGTACGTATTATGGTCGTCTTTAATGATGTGATCTCACGCTATTTTTCCCACAGGACCCCTGGCTCATTCAGTGAGCACCAATCAGCTATTTTGTTTTCTCCTCACCAGTCAATGGGTGACATCCACGTACTACATCCTATTCAAATCCTGCTCGGAAGACAGCATTATTCATTTCCTCCTGGGTGTTTTGCCACTGACTCATCCGAGCGCTTCACGAGTGTGATCCTCACAACACCCAGGTGGGATGAAGGGTGTTGTTTTCCCCGTTTTACAGATGAGGAACTGCGTCACACAAATTTTTCGAATCATTTTGGGTGCCCACTTTGAGACACCTACGATGTGATTCTTTTCGGAGTATTTGGCATTAGATAGCACTTTACATGTTCAAAGCGCAGGTCCCACTGCCTTCCGTTGCAGCTGATAATGTTCAGCCCTTCTGTAAATCAAGCCCCAGGGTTCTGAGTCAGGCCCCCACAAAAACACGAGGATCTCGTAATTAGTGAAAAGCTGGGTTTAAGCACCTCACTCAGCATCACACCAGGGACAGGGCAGAGGAAGGCACAGAATCTATTTCTCCAGAGCAACATTCACCTGCCTTTAACCAGACCATCTATTCCCTTCCTGCAATCTCCTGCCTCCTTCACTACCCACCTTCCAACTTCTACAGCCAGTGAGGGAGGGCCCCTACACACCACAGCCTCCTTTGCTGCAAAACTCTGGTTCAACCCCAGAGCAGGCCCCATGCACTGGAAGAAACAGCGTGATCATCTAATTAAAGACTGCAGCATCATTCATGTGCCCAAGTGGGCTGAAGGAAGGTTGCACAGGGAACCTGAATTCTGGCATTGCCTAATATTTGAGTGCTTGACTTTGTAACTTTAATAATGGTGCTCCCCGGTGGGGAGAGAGAAACCGGGAGTGGAAGTTGGCGTGGGGGGCAAAGACTGGGACTGGGAGCCAGAGGAGGGAAACTGGGACTGCTTGGGAAAGCGACTGGGAACCAGTGGGGAAGAGGGAAGGAGGTGAGGTGGGGAGACAGATCTGACACCCCCGTGGGTCATCAGCAAGTGGGAACCTTTAGATCCACTGCACAGATCTCTGCAACTTGAGTTAACAGCGTAGCTGACAGCAATAGTAGGTTGTCATCCTCTCTGTGGAGCCGCACTATAGTGAAATGGGATAATTTCCCAGTGGGTTTCACAGATATTTGCTGACAACAGAGGAATGGTGGGACTCAGGGATCTTGGGTTCCACTCCAGGCCCTGGAGGGCAGTGTGCTCTAATGGGCAAAGACTCTTCTGCCTGTCCTCCCACCGATTCCCCCCCAAGCATGACCCCGTCCTCTCCAACATGGCCCTGTCTGCCTGTTCCCCACCCCAGCTCCTTCTCTCTGTCCCATTCTCCTCCCCGAGCCAGTCTGTCTCCACTCCTCAGGCTTTCCATCCCAGTCCCAGTCTTCCTGCCTAGCACGTCCTAGTCTCACCCCTCCAGGTTCCTCATCCCAGTCCCAGTCTCTCCCGCACTCCCAGTACCTGTCTCCTCGCCCAGCCATTCCCAGTTTCCTCCCCCGGTTCCTCGTCTGCTGTGTGTTTGCCCAGCCAGTCCTAATTCCCTCCCACCCAGCACATCTGATCTCTCTCTCTCTCCCTCCTCCTCCGCCCCCCCGCCTCCAGTCACCGCCACCCTCCCCCACATTCCCAGTCCCCACTGGCTCCCAACCTTCCTCCCTGAGCTCCTTGTCTAATCTGTGTCCTGCCCTTCACCCCTCAGCTCCTTGGCCTAGTCTCTGCCCAACCAGTCCCAGTTCTCCCCCTTCATCTCAGATCCTTGTCAGATCTGTCTCCCCCACCTCACCTCCTTCCCTCTGCCCCACTGGTTCCCAGTCTCTTTCCCAAACAGTCCCAGTCTCCCTCCTCTGGCTCCCAGTCTTTGCCCCCCCCCTCCAACTTCCATTCCCGGTTTCTCTCTCCTCCCCCACAACCAACTTGCCATCCCAGCCAGGTGCCTTGTCCCCAAGTTCCTTGTCCCAATCCACCCCACTCATCCCTGCCCTGCAGGTCTGGTTCTTGTTCCCCAACATGCTCCTCAGGGTCTCTGAGAGGCTCCCTGCTCTCAGTTCAGAGATTCCAAGGCCAGAAAGGACCATCTCATCTGACCCCCCGTATAACACAAGCTTCCCCCAAATAATCCCTAGAGCATAGGCATGGCTTGGACCCACAGCTGCAATGGCGAGGAAAGTCCTGCGGCCCTGCCTGGCCCGGGGCTGGAGTATGCCCAGCGCGGATGGAATCTCTGTGGAATCTGTCCGCCGCATGCGTGAACTGCACTTCGTCAAAGGTTTATCACTCGGCTTTTCCCCAAAGCGGCAAAAGGTGCATCCCTGACACCTGGGCCCATGGCCCGGCCACATTTCATGTCCCTGCACCAAAGTACGGGGTGGCAAGAGCTTTTCAAAGAGGACACCAGGATTTTTTGACATGGGCAAAACCAACATATTTTCTCCTGGCCTCATTCTTGGAAACGGCTGAACTGGTCTGGCTCGACCCTTCCAGCCCCACTCCTGCCCGGCTTCCTGCTCCGGACTAAGGACACGGGATGTGCGTCCTCAGACCTACACTGTCTCCTATTGCACACCCTGCTAGGGAATGTTGGTACTGGAGCAGCAGGGATCTCCCCCCACAGCCAGTGCTCCTGCACCCCCCATAGCGCCCCCTGCTGGGAGAGGCTGCGAATGGAACAGCAGGGATCTCCCCCCACAGCCAGTGCTCCTGCCCCACCCCTACAGCGCCCCCTGCTGGGAGAGGCTGGTACTGCAGTAACTGGGAGCTTCCCCCCTCATTCAGTGTTTTTGCACCGTCCTCTACAGTGGGGGAGGTTTGGGAAGGTTGCACAGAGGCCTGTTGGTGCCAATGGGCAAAAGCTCTCTGTTGTTCTCTGCAAGCAGTTCCTGTCTCAGACCTGACACACTCACTACACCTAATACACCACTTTCATGGTATTTATCCAAGAAGGGTAGCGTGTGAGGTCTCCACTGAAAACTTGTGACTTGCCAAGACTCATAATCATTGTGAGTTGTGTGTACGGGTGCCACCCTTAAGGAATGATATAGCTACATTGAAAACTATGCCTTCTGGGCTTGGAGTAGGAGTTAGTCATCGGGGAATCCTATGTGTCAGTGACGGCCCATGCAAGTAGGAGGGGGTTGTCACCCATCCCTGGTCAGCCGGAGACATAATGCAAGGTTCAGTTGTCTACCCTTGCCTAGAGCAATCAATGGAAAACCACCAAAGACAACTGCAAACAATCCAGACCCCCACGGAAGTAAAAGGAAATATTAGAGCGGACAGGGGATCACAGTGCCTGTCAGTAAAGACAAAAGGCTGGTTTGGTGTTTCACAGGGTGGACAAAGACCCTCTGCATCCATTCACTGAGGAGACCTCTTCTTGAGCGGAGTGTTTCACAAAAGATTGGATCGTGGGACCTGGGAAGCCAGCCAGCTCTGCGACAGACTGAACTTTGGGACCGGGGGATAGGAACCTATTGTATTAACTAGGAAAGGGAGCGATTCGGAAGTGTAGGCCCTAGTGCACGTTCTGTGATTTGTTATGTATTGTAACCATTTGTTTCTTTTTCCCACTCTTGTTCCCTGGTGGAACCTCTATTCTTTCTTAAATAAATCTTCTTTGGTTTTATGATACGTGCTGCGTGACATACAGGAGCAGTGATCTAAGGTTAAGCTGGGGTACACCGTTCCCTTGGGGGCAGATCTGGGATTTCTGTGAGTAACCAGGGGCTGGGTGTCCCAGGAACGCTTCAAGAGGATTCGGGGGCTGGAGTGCACTTCTTGTGAACGTGCCAGGCAAAGACAGGGCTGGGATACACCAGAGGAGAGGGCTTGAGTGGCTGACCGGCTGGTGGTATTAGGCAGCTGATGCCCAGGCGTCAGGGAAAAAGGCGACTCTCAGTCCTGGGTACCCCAAGAACGGTGTCAGGGTAGAGTTAGATCCACAGGAAAATGCTTCCAGCTCTGACCCCAGGAGCTCTGGGGCAGTGTTGATCGATCGGTTTTGCCAGAACTCCTTTTTCTCATTGTGTCTTTCAGTTTCTGCTTGAAAGGGGAAGTAATGGACGGGAAAACCCCTGTGGTCATTGACTACACCCCGTATCTGAAGTTTACACAGAGGTAACAGCTACTGTATCATCTAACCAATGAACCAGCCACTGTCAGTGTGGGGGGCCCAGCTCCCATTAGTGGCACCGCCAGACCCCAACCAGGGTCAGGGCCCCAGGGTGCTGCACAGACGCCTGGTAAGAGGCAGTCCCTGCCCCAAGGAGCTTACAATCAAACAGACAAGCGGTGGGAGGGAAAAGTGGAGGCCCAGTGCGTGGAAGTGACTTGCCCACAGCAGATCTGGGAAGGGAACCCAGGTCTCCTGAGTCTCAGATGATGGTGGTAGGCACTGGACCATGCTGTCTCTCATGGGAGGCTGGTCAGCTGGGCGCTAAGTCCTGACGCCTGTAGTTATCACAGCCGAAACCCCCCGCCAGGAGGGTCTGCAATTGCGTAACTGCATCATGCAACTAAGAACCCCCAGACTTGTATTTCCAAGCCGATACCTACCCTGTCACTAAGGATTCTGGGTAATGTAGTCCCGTTTCCTGCACGAAGCACCACAAACGCTCTCGCTAGGGGGCCATGAGAAGACACTGCCCGTTGCTACGGTGCCGTCACATACATCTACCCAGCACCTAGGAGAGGCAGGTCAGTGAGTATTGCAAACTGAGAGGAGGTGCAGAGAAATAGTCCCAAGGGGTCAAGAGCAAGAACAGTTGGATTTCAGCTTGGATAAACGAGAGCTGGCACGTCCCGGGGGGAAATGATCTAAGGCTGACGTTCAGTGGCCAGGAGAACCATGGGAAAGAGCGATGCAGAGAGAGCACTAGGGGGCGACAGAGAGCAAAGGGCAAATTAGGAGACTCAAAGCACTGTGACAGCCAATACGCTCTTTGGGACAGGGACTTTCTCTGTGTTTGTACAGCACCTGACACAAGGGGCCCCGTCACGGCTGGTCCTTAGGCACAATGTTGTTTCGGGGTGTCTCAAGGCAGGAAGGCGATAGTCCCTTGCTGGTGCGACGTTGCTGGGCACATAGATCTGAGCACTCCATAAGCTAAAGCCACGGCAGGGATTAGACGGGCCAGAGGGAGTGATTTAGGGGCAAGGCTGAACTACTGGGTTTACATTTCTGTCTCTCCAGAGCTCCCAGAGTGCTTCACACGGCAGCACCTCTGGGGTGAGGGAACCCGCCCACCACTCAGCACAGGCCTGGGGGAGGAAGGAAGCAAAAATGCCACCAGGGACAATGGGGAAAACGATTAGGAAAAAGCGCCACGAGATCTTTCCCGAGTGGACAGGGCTGTATGGCCATTCTGGACAGCTCCCCATGCCGCACAGTGAAGGGAGCTCAGTCCAGGATGGCAAAGTGCCAGGCTCTGACCCTGTTACCGTGATTCCATGTCCTGCGCTAAACTGCCCAGAAGAGACACATCTGGGCTAGAACCAGGGGTCCGGATTTTTGGCTCCAAACCCCAGATCTGATCCGCTTGCCACAGCGGAGAGCTCTTACTGGTTGGCAACAGTGTTATGTTCTTTAGCGTCTCCTTGGGCCCCTCCAACACTTTCACTCACTCTCCAGTCCTTGCTGATTAAGTTGCCAAGCCGCCCATTCGGGCAATTCTCCTGCTGCCCAGGGGAGGAAATCAGCCCAGACAACAATGACTCGGAGCTGTGCTGTTCTCTGGGTTTCGTGTCCCCCTCCACTCGCTGAGCCTCACTCCTGCTCCCAGGACACCCCTGACCCTCCCCGCCAAATCGGGGCAGACAGGGTGCTGTCTTCTCCCGCTGAGCCCCTGGTTCTCTGGGCAGCTACGATTACCTGAGCGACGAGGAGGACCGGAGGAGCGTGGAGAGCAGCACGAGCGAGGAGAGCTCCCCCGAGCACCCCTACCAGCTGCTGGTCACCGACGAGGACAGCTGGTACAACAAGTGGCGAAAGATGGAGCAGAAGTTCCGCATCGTGTATGCGCAGAAGGTACCCGGGCATCTGGCAGTGAGGGGTGCGGATTGGGGGTGGGGGTGTTTGGTTTTGAGCCTCCCTCCTAGATATGTGGGGCTGGAAGGGACCTCGGGAGGTCATCTCGTCCAGCCCCCGGTGCTGAAGCAGAGACAAGTAACCCCGGGGGAGCCCTGCTGTTACCTACACCGCAGCTCCTAGACCCAGCAGCACCAGTGACCCTGACCGCCCCCCGCACCCACCTGCTCCCTCCCCATCAGAATGGTGCTCACGCTTCCCTTCCGTGCATGCCGCTGGGGGGTACGGCCCCCATCCTGCTGCCTGGGATGGAAGCTGCTGCTTCACCGGGGTGGTCCTGGCATGCCTCCTCTATCTGTCCCTGCCTCCAGATCCCTCCCCTGGCAGAGCTGGCCTGGGCACAGTGTGCCACGCCCGCAGTTGTGCATCCCCAGGCCCTGCCCCGCCAGGCCTGATCCCTGCCTGTGCCTCAGGGGTACCTGGAGGAGCTGGTGCGTCTCCGGGAATCCCAGCTGAAGGACCTGGAGGCGGAGAACAAGCGCCTACAGATGAGGCTGGAGGAGGTGAAGGTGCAGAACCAGCTGGAGAAGAGGGAGCTGGAGGGCGTCATCCTGGAACTGCAGGAGCAGCTGTGAGTCCATCAAAAAAAACCCTGCCCCATGCTGGGAGGGGCGCTCTCCTCCCCTCCCCCCAAGCTCCCTCTGCCCCACACGGGGAGGGGCTCTCTCAACCCCCCATCGCTCCTCCTGGCCCATGGGGGGAGGGGCTCTCTCCTCCCCTTCCTCCCCCCAAGCTCCCTCTGCCCCACGCAGGCAGGGGCTCTCTCCTTTCCTCCCCCCATCAGTTCCCTCTGCCCCAGAGTTCCCACCGCGCCCTCCATGCCACGTTGTATGTGGCTGCTAGCCCTGCTGGGAGGCGAGTAGGGCTCTGTTGTGTTCCTGGCCCTGTCTCTCGGGGCAGGCCCTGGCCCGCTGCGCATCACAGCCTCCCCTCCTCCTCCTCTGCCTCCAGGACGGGCCTGATCCCCTGTGAGAACACCCAGCTCTCCAAGGAGATGGCCACGCCGCTGGTGAACCAGTGGCCGTCGCTGGGGACCCTCAATGGGAACGAAAGCGGGTCAGACGCCAAGCTGTACAGGAGGTGAATCCCCAGGGAGGAGACCCCGAGGAGCCGGGGTCCCGGGTGGGGGGCAGCGTGCAGGGCAGCAAGAGGAGACGCTCGGGGAGGCAGGGTCCCTATGAACCTCCCACCTTCAGATGCTGCTCTGAGCCGTCTGCCAAGGCTGCATGGGTGTGCAGGGTTCCCGAGAAGGGGCGGGGTGTGTGTGTGTGTGTCCATGCGGGGGAGAGGGGGGAATAGCTCACCATGCAGAGCAGTGAAGAGGAGGGAGGAATCAGACATTCTCTGAAACCAGTCACAGCTCCAGTGCTGGGATCTGGTCTCCTTTTCGGAAGAACCTTCAGGCTGGTTCGGGTTTTATCCGACTCCAATACCCTGAAGCTTGTGTAAACCCCTGCTTCCCTGGGAAGGAATAGGGGAGTTGAGTGGTGGGTGTAGCCCAGAGCCAGCAACCCCATCTCCTGCCAGCAGAGGAGAGAAGTGGCTTCCCAAACCAGGGGCCTGGCTGGTTTCTTCCAACATCCTTCCCAGCCCGGGGGTAACTCAGGGGCTGGTCTAGTCATCCATGGATGGAGTCCAAGGGGCCTGGGGCCTGACAAGAGCCTCCAAGGCTGTTAGGCCAGATGGAACCATTATGACTATTTAGCCCGACCTCCTGCAGGACACGAGAACCTCGCCCTGTGAGTGGTCATCAAGCCCATATCTGGTGGCTGAGCTAGAACAGAGCTTTTAGAAAGATTTCCAGGTTTGATTTAATGACTTCAAGCAATGGAGAATCCAACAGGTCCCCTGATGAGTTGTTCTAGTGGTTAATTAACCCCTTAAAAATGTGTGTCACAGAGAGAGAGAGAGGAGTCTAGATGGTTAGACAGAGAGGAGCCTAGATGGATGGAAGGATGGATGGTCAGACAGAGGAAGGGAGG